CAGCCAGAATTCAAGTTATTTATAATAAATTACAACAACAGAGACCAGTCATAAATACTTGTTTATGTTTTGCTAAAGTCAAAGAAAGATCTTGACATAATCTTGAACACCAAAAGATAATAATGTGCCCAACATAATAGAATCTAACACCGTAAGGAAGTCTCTTCTATTCTCTTATCAGTTAGCCAGAGAATTTGTTTGCAAGAGAAGTTTTGGAAAGAATGTGGGAGCCGATGCTTTGGTCCTCAGGAGTAGCTAATGTGATGTCTTCTAGATATTGTTGGAAAACAGCTTCTATCATCTCTGACCATTGGCCATGCTGGCTGGGGCTGATGGGACTCAGAGGCCAACAGCAACTGGAACACAGCAAACTGGCTCTCTGTGCCTGAACATCAGACTGATTTATACCCTGCTTTATAATCCAATCAGTTTTCATGACGGCCTACAAAATGTTAATATGCGAGCATATATATTTAAAGAAAATTCAATGTAAAACAATGAAAACAACAATCAAGCAATAAAAATAACAGATAAAATTCCCTGGACTGTTTATATCTCATTGTCTTGCAAGCATATCTATTATATAGTAGTAGCACAATGCTAGGCCTGTTCACTTGGAACAAAATTCCACTATTTTCAATAGGGCTTGCTCCCAGATTAGTGTGTCTAGGATTGCAGCCTAAGAATTGTAATTGCTATTTTTAGTGAATATTGTTGTGTTGTTGTACTGTATTGTTAAGAGTGCTTTTTGTTTGTGCTTTTAAACTTTATTTAAAAATAAAAATCAATGAAAAAGTGTTGTGGGGAGATAGGAGCCACACTGAGTTCCCACATGCCCCCCCCTTCTGCTTCTGGTGGCTTCAGAGTAAGAACATAAGAATAGCTTAGCTGGATCCAGCCAGCGCCCCTTTTAGTCTGGGATCCTGTTTTCACAAGATGCAAGTGGGAAGTCTTCAAGTGCAAAGTGAGCACTGGCCACCCACCTTTTTAATATGTTTCTTTTAAATGAGTCAGCTACCCTAGAGGGCCACAACAGTTTGAGAAATTATTCTTACCTTGGAATGGTTGTGTGTGGCTGGAATCCAGCAGAAAAGAAGGGGGAGGAAAACCCAGGGCACTATCTTAAAACTGTTTACATTTATATATATTTTTTTTAAAAAAATCCCCAGTTCTTTTTGATGCATTTACTTTGAGAGTTTTGGGCTTGGTGGGCTTCCCTGAGACTTTCTGCACAGAATATTACATCAAACATGCCTGCACAGCAGTGATCTCCCAGCACTGTCTGATATTCCCTCTGTGCAGAAGGCAGGGAGAGATTTCATTTCATGCATCATTCATAAAGCCACTGCTGGTACAGTATTCCACAAGTTGCTACATCTTTCCCTCCAACCGGCTTCCTCTTATTCCTCCAGCAAAGGCTTCAAACAGAAAAAAGACATCTCTACTCTCCAGTCTCTTTGGAAATTGGCCACAGGTGCTGCGCCATGTCGATAGCACCCTTTGTCTTTTTAAATATATAATTTAAGCTAAATGGGGGGCCTAAATCAATTGCTTGGGATTTTAACTCAAGCGCCTCGCGTTTTGCATGATTTCCAAAGAGCTGCAGTCATAGAGGCATTGCCAGAACTTCTAACACAAAGCAAAGGACAAAAATAAAAATGTGTTTGTGTCTGGGTAGCAGTTCTAACATGAAATGGAAGGTACTTTTAGGTGGCATGAGAAGTAATTCGCTGAGCTAGGAACACAGAAGGCTCTATTATACCAAATCTGGTCGTTGGTCCATCTAGTTCAATATTGTCTACATTGACTGGAAGGGGCTCTCCAGAATTTCACATGGGACTTTCCCATCCTTAACTAGAGATGCCAGAGATCAAACCTGGGACTGTCTATATTCAGAACAGATGCGACTTCCGGTCGGTGCCAGCGCTTAATGGCGGTCCTCCCTCCGAGCTCCGGAGAAGGACTGCTCCGCAAGTTCGGGTCTTACCCGCTACGGCGAGTGGGGGACCCTTAAAATCTCAGGCGCTGAAGCCTGAGAGCAAGGAGACTCGGTGGGCACCTTTTGCGCCCCCCGGTATCGCGAAAGAGCCTTTTTAAAGGCTCCGGAGCGGCATCAGGAGTGAGCGCGGTGCTGAGAGTCGCTACCCAGCCTGCGGAGTGAAGCCGCGTCGCCATAAGCGGAGAGCGCCGATTTCTTCCTGAAAAGAAAATCTGGACTGAATTCCCGTGAGTAAGAGCAGAAAAAGAATCGGGACCCTTTAAAATTTGAAAATCTGGCTGAAAACGGGAGGGAATAAAATAAGGAAGTCTGCCCTCCCCGGACTGCAGAAATTTAAAGCAACGAAAGACCCCGCTGCAGTTACAAGAAACTTAGTTGCGAACTGTCAACCCTGAGCTGTCAAAAGTATCTCTTCCCCCCTGATCGGAGGAGAAGGGGGGAAAAAAAAGACAGTCTTGTGAAGATACTCTTAATTCAAGGGAAACAAAGTTTTCCACTGCCCTGATCCCCTGGGGACGATCTGCCAGGAGTTAACACCGGGAAAATTGTTCTTTAAAATAGGTATGAAGTGGATATAGACTATACCTTAAATGGTGAACGAGTTTTAAGACTTGAACGGGACTTGGTTACAGATATTTGATTAGCTAAATCTACCTGGAGAAAAAGTTTTAAATAACTTTAATGGCGGACTTTTGACTCTTTACATCCGGCTTTCTGTTTCTTTGTTTCCTCTAACTTGGACACTATTAATTGCTCCCTCTGGAGGACCAAGAGGGAAAAAACTGTAAAGTAACTGGCTGACAGTGGGATTTTCCATCGCAAGTTTTTCCTGTGAGAACGGCCTTGGGATATGAGTGGCACGGCAGAGGAGATAAGAACCAGATCTAAAGCTAAAGTGACACAAAATAAAAGAGGCTCAATCTCTGGCAATACAGTGCCTGCACCGGAAAGTGTGACAGCAGCATCAATGGAATCTATGACACAGGCACTGCTTAAAATAAATCAATCCCTAGAGGCCTTAACAAAGCAATCTACAGAAAATACAAAGAAACTGACAGAACTCACAGCAAGATTGGACTTGAACACTACGTCAGTGGCGACTAATACAGAATCTATAAATAGACTGATTCAGGAATCTACAGAAACTAGGAAAATTGCAGAGAGTGCAAGATCTATTGCTGGGGAGACACAGGAAAAACTTGCACCGATAGAGAAAAAGGTGAATGAGCATGAAGCGGCCCTCTCCTTACTGGAGCTACAACGGAAAGAACGGAATCTGAAATTAAGACAGGTTCCAGAGAATGAAAAGGACAACCTGACGGAATTTCTCACAGAGGCAATTTTGGAAAATTGGCAAGGAGATCTGGAGGAGGATGAAGTAGAAATAACAACTGCTTTCAGACTTGGTAGAAAGCAAAGTGAGAAGCCAAGGGATTGTCTGATCACCTTCAGAACCAAAGAGGAAAGAGACAAGATACTGAACCTTCATTATCAAAAAGCTTTGGTAATTGGAAACATTCAAGTCCAAATCTTTAAGGACATCCCTAAATACATCTTGGAAGTGAGGGCCTTCTATATGGAGGCAAAAGAGGTGAAAAAATTGAATATGGGTTCTAATTGGCCTAAATATTTTGAAATGATAGAACAAGATGGTGAAAAAGTAAAATTGCAGAGTTTCGAGAAACTGAAGTTTAAGGTGAGAGATTGGCTACATTATCGACAGTTAAATGAAGTATTCAAACAGGACAGAAAGAAAGGCTTCCAAGTGGAGAAGTCCAAACTAGAAACAGAACTGTTAGAACCCAATACTAAAATCTTGTCAAGAATGTACAACTTGCTGTTGAAATGGAATACTCAAGATGAAATGGTGAAATCTAGTATGATTAAATGGGCACAGGATATAGGGCATGACATTGAGCTTGCTGACTGGGAGCAGTTATGGACCACTGGTGTTAAATTTACGGCATGTAATGCCTTAAGAGAAAACATTATGAAAATGATCTACAGGTGGTACATGACTCCGGCTAAGTTAGCAAAGATTTATCATTTGCCCAATAATAAGTGTTGGAAGTGTAATGAAACGGAGGGAACCTTCTATCACCTTTGGTGGACCTGCCCGAAGATCAAGGCCTTCTGGGAAATGATCTATAATGAAATTAAAAAAGTTCTGAAGAGAACATTTAATAAAAAGCCAGAAGCCTTTCTCTTGGGTATGGTGGGCCAAATGGTGCCAAAGAAGGATAGGACATTTTTTATGTATGCTACAACAGCAGCAAGAATCCTTCTAGCAAAGTATTGGAAGACACAAGATCTACCCACGTTGGAAGAATGGCAGACGAAGGTGATTGATTATATGGGACTGGCAGAGATGACTGGCAGAATCCGAGACCGGGGGAAAGAGGCGGTGGATGAAGACTGGAACAAATTTAAAGTTTATCTTAAAAACTGTTGTAATTTGGAAAATTAGAGGATCAGGGTAATAAGAGATAAAGAACTACAGTTGTTTTATTATCTTATGGAAGTTAAATTTATGAAATAGAAATAAGTTTAATACGAAAGGGTTGCTGAAAAATCTTGAAACAAGAATGCAGAAAAGGGGTGGTACGGGGAAGTCGGTTTTGTGTTTATCTATGTTTTTGTTTTGTTTTCTTTTTTACTTATGGAAAATCAATAAAAATTTATTTAAAAAAAAACAGAAAGGGTTACTTCCGGGTTTCGCCGTTTGCGCATGCGCAGAAGTGCAAAATGACGCCAAACGCATGCGCAGAAGTGGCGAATCGCAATCCGCGCGTGCACAGACGCACCGCTGCGGGTTGTGCTCTTTTCATGTTGCGAACGGGCCTCCAGAACGGATCCCGTTCGCAACCAGAGGTACCACTGTATTCCTTTCAGGTGAATGAGAGCGCAAAGTGACAATTCCAAGATCTTCCTTTGCATTAGAGAACTTCACCACTGTTTTATTTTTTTGAGTATTGAATCGATTCACTGGGATGTCCTCTCTGTGCGTGCAAAGAGAGGAGAGGGAATCTTCTCAAAATATGTTGGATTTTGATCAGTTGGATCTCATCGTGCTATCAATCCACGAGACGTAGTTGCAGACTTTGGTGTAGACTCCAGGGTAGCCTTTCTGAGCACATCCAATGCCCCAGGAGACAATTCCCTGGAGCTGCCCGTTGCAGACCACGGGACCGCCAGAGTCTCCCTGTGAAAGAACACAAGGAAAATCTATTCAGTAAGCGGTAGAAGTGAGAGACGGAATATGACTTGTGTTACTCCAATACCTTGCAACAGTTCGTAGAATGTGCCCCTGCAAAACTATAGACTAACTGTCATTGAGATCCTTTTTGTCTAATTCCTGCCACACAGGCATCAGTCTCTTGGACAGTACCACCGAAGCCTGATAACTGTGGAGTTGGGGTGGGATTTCTGAGGGAAACTGCTCAGCACCTCCCCAAAATGATAATCCCAAGGATTATGGGGAGGCAGGGGAGCTACGGCAGTTAAAGCAACTCAAAACCGAGTAAGGTTTGTTCTGTCGATGCAAGCCCTGCACAAGAGTTTCTGCTTGTGCATGTTACCATAAAGCACCAATGCTGCAGCAAGCAAAGGCTCCAGCAGCTCAGTCTGCTGCTTGTGGCTGGAAAGCCAGACAGGATGTTTGTGACTGTTGCCATGGGAACAAAGGGGCAGTCCATTCTGTACTGAGCACCGGATGTTAGCTCAGTGTGTGTGTCATATGACCCGTACTGGAAGTACATGGGTGGAGTTTCTTCTTGCTGTTGTCGAGTGCAGACATGTTTCTCTGTACTGATATGAGAGACAGAAATAAAAGATGTAAATAGTTTTCTGTCTGCTTCTTTCCCCTCCCTGGGGGACACCAAAGGGGAGAGAGGAAGAACGGTGTGTTCCTCTCACACATCTGAGAAGAATCGCCGAGACCTCGCCTGCTTATCAGCAGAGTGGAGACGCGGGGAGGTCGACAGGAATATCTGCCGGTGCCTACGCTGTTGGCACATTCCTCTGACCCAAGCAGAATTCCAACAGTGGCAGCCTTCGGATGGTTGCGATTCATCGGACATCTGCATGAGAGGCTGGTGAATTGTCCTCCTCTGCTCCATGGAAGCCTGATTTGAGAGGCTGATTCTCTGCAGCCAGAAGCTGACCAGAAGAAGCTGACAGCCAAGCCGATGCTCAAGGTATGAGACTTTTAAGGGCTTAGAAGTGTGAATGCAGAATGATTCATTCCCTGCTTCACGGAGAGCGTGTGTGGGAAAGCAGCTCCAACTTAGAAGAGGCCTGCATACCAGGCATTTTTGTGGTTTCCTGTCCGAGGAAAGGAATGCGCTGTTGCTAAGCGACGTCCTTCAGAAGGCTGTGCCTCAGTGAGGAGAATAGAAAGTTATTCGAGAGGGCTGGACAGTCAGACTATGCTTCAGAGAGGCGAAAACAAAGTTTGTTATGACTAGGTCCTCACGAACTGCTGGAAGGGACTTTCCAACGCAGCCAGTGTCAGAGTTGCCAGGTGTCAAGCGTGTAAACAAGCCAGCTATTGGATTTTAGAGGCTTGTGTTTTAGAGTCAATGCAAGGACTCAAAATGGATGCCAAGAAGGGGGGAGGTTTGCCTTCTCCACCCCTCCTGACCAATGACAATTATTCATCTTGGTCTGTAAAGATGAAGGCCCTGCTGCAGAATCAGAGACTGTTTGAAGTGATTGAAAACCCCATCCCTGCAGCACCAACGCGTGCTTGGGAGTCACAGAATGTGAAGGCTAGGACTGCCATAATTCTGTGTGTCTCAGATGAGCAGCTTGTGCATATACAGCATTTGGAATTTGCGAAAGAGGTTTGGGATACGCTGCGTACAACGCATCAGAGAGATGCCGGTTCTTCAGCGTTGCTGTATTTTGAGAAGTTGACCAATCTGAGATTAGCGCCTGATGGAGATGTTCAAGCGCACCTGACAGAGATGAAGTTTCTGCGTCAACAGATGGTGGAACGCAATTTCCGTCTACAGGAGGAAGTGTTTTGCTTCATGATGATAAACAGCCTTAGCCGCACCTACAAGGTTGTTGCCAGTCAGCTTGGTTCGCTACCTGCTCAGCAGCTAACCGCGGAAAGGGTGTGTGCCGTGGTCCTGAACGAACACGACAGACTTGCTGCACTGGAAGTGAAAGACAGAGGGAGGCAAGAACAGAGTTCGAATCTTCCCACTGCTGGTGATGCCGTAGCATTGAGTGCCGTCCGATGCTACAATTGTGGACAGACTGGGCATCTACAGCGAAACTGTAAGAAGCCGCGACAGTCAAAAGGAGCCAAGAACAGCTCTACGAAGCCTGAGGCGTCAAGCAAAAGCCGTACCAAGTGCCAGGTGAAACCTGCAAAGGCTATGATGGCGAAAGGAACCGCGCCAGATGTTGGGAACGCATTCATAATCGATACCGGCGCCACGAAGCATCTCTGCCCACACAGAGAACTGTTTTCGACGTTGAAGAAGCAAAGCTTCACTGTGAAACAAGCCAACGGTCAAGAGCTGGAAGCGACCGGAATTGGGACTGTGTATCTTGAGAGTCTGAACTTGACAATAAGTGATGTTTACCTGGTTCCAGAACTGAGATTTAATCTGCTGAGCGTGTCGCAGATTGCAAAGAAAGGACTGAAACTGTCCTATGATGCTAAAAGATGCAAGATCTTCAAAGATGGAGAACTGTTTCTTACTGCCAAAGAGAAAGATGGACTGTATTTGTTGACTTTTGATCAAAGTGATTACATGAAATGTAATTCTTCTGATTCTAACGAAATTTCTCTTACAGGTCTGACCACAAGTGACACCAAGAAGGTGGCTAAGAAGGTCCACAGAGCTTTTCAGCGGGTGTATGCTGATGTGATTGGTCCTCTAGAACCATCTAGAGGCAATGCAAAATATTACCTTTTGTGTGTTGATTGTTACACTAATTATTCTTGGGTTTATATGATGAAGAAACCGCAAGGAAACTTTAGAAAAGTTTCAGGAGTTTTGTGACAAGGTTAAAAGTATGCATGATGCTAACATTGATTGTCTTTTCACAGATGACAAGCCAGTTTTTCTTTTACAGGATTTCCAGAAGTTCCTGGATGGAAAAGGGATAAGACACAAACTTGCTAGTTCCGAAGAAGCATGGAAGAAATGTGTCTGTGTAAAAGTGAACAAAGAATTGCAAAAGGGGATGCATGCGCAATTGCTAAGTTCACATTTACCACATGAATATTGGGCCGAATCTTTAGCGTCCTATCTTCATGTGTGGTTGAGAAAAGTCTCAACAGAGTTGGGATGTTCTCCTTTTGAGAAGCTGTTTAATAGAAAACCTTCTGTTGCCTATTTTAAGGTTTTCGGGTCTCATGTGAGAACAGAAACTCCAAGTGGGGTAAAGAATGCCAGAGGCATTTTCGTGGGTTATGAAAAAGGTCTCTATAGAGTAATTTTGTCTGAATCTGGTCAGGTGATTCTCACAAAGTTTCTAGAGAGTGCTCCAGAGCAAGAGCGAGTAGAACACACATTTCCCACAGGTGGCAATTCAGATGATTCTGATGATGAGTTTGATCTTATTGAGTTCAGTGGTACTGACGATGACAGCGATAGCTCAGACAGCTCAGTTGTCACAGTCATTGAGAGGAAATCTCAAATAATGACTAGACCCTCAGAAGAGGAGGATGAACCACTGATTAAGCTTAGTACTGGTTCTCCAGAGAGTTCAGAGGCTGAACCAGAAAGCAGAGAAGAGAAGCAACTCTTACGCAGGTCTGAGAGAGCAACGAAGGGTGTACCACCCAAGAGGTATTCAAAGGAGTTTGCTAACCTAGCATATGTTGCTGTTGTAAATGATCAAGGACAGATTGAAGCTGTGTCTGAGTCAGAGACAAAGGCACAACAGAGAGTTGTTAACCAAGGTAATGCGAAGTCACACAACCAGAGAGGTACATTGGTAAAACCAGTGGCGGGTAGTTCCAAGGGTGGAACTGAAACAACAGGGGAATGTTATAAGTATAACAACTGTTTGTTTTCTTCTCTGGATGACGCTTTGCTCGCAGCAAGCATTGATACTTTAGGGGGAGTATGTTACCATAAAGCACCAATGCTGCAGCAAGCAAAGGCTCCAGCAGCTCAGTCTGCTGCTTGTGGCTGGAAAGCCAGACAGGATGTTTGTGACTGTTGCCATGGGAACAAAGGGGCAGTCCATTCTGTACTGAGCACCGGATGTTAGCTCAGTGTGTGTGTCATATGACCCGTACTGGAAGTACATGGGTGGAGTTTCTTCTTGCTGTTGTCGAGTGCAGACATGTTTCTCTGTACTGATATGAGAGACAGAAATAAAAGATGTAAATAGTTTTCTGTCTGCTTCTTTCCCCTCCCTGGGGGACACCAAAGGGGAGAGAGGAAGAACGGTGTGTTCCTCTCACACATCTGAGAAGAATCGCCGAGACCTCGCCTGCTTATCAGCAGAGTGGAGACGCGGGGAGGTCGACAGGAATATCTGCCGGTGCCTACGCTGTTGGCACATTCCTCTGACCCAAGCAGAATTCCAACAGTGCAATGGGGCTTTCCCATCCTCCTCCTCCCACCCCCCACCCCAAATGGAGGGTTGGGAAAGCCCCCAAAACAGGGGCAGAGAGTGAATGCTTGAATGCTTGCACTAACAAGCTATTTCACCATAAAGCAAAGTGGTCTATTCACTTTTTGAGTTCCCCTCCCCACCCAACATTCAAGCGGTGTATAAATGTTGTTAAATAAATAAACAGGGTGGCATTTTTCTTCCAACCAATAAGTTGAAACAGCCATGATTTCTGTTAAGTTGTGGGTGAACATATCAGACGACACAGCGATTCTTCAACAGCTCTTGTTTATTCACAGGTCAGAACAGAACTGAACTGAAGTGTTCAGCCAGCCTGCTTATATAGAGCTCCACTACAACGCAACAGTAACCATTTTCTGTAACTATCCAATTATCTGAACGTCACTTTCGATCCCTTATTTGCATATGTGGACCTGAACTATCTACAGTATCCCCCTGCTGGCCCAGGGTGAGAACTTCAGTACATAACTATTTCCAAGGCCTTTCATCCCACTGTAAGTTTTTACAGGTTTTCAAAGCAGCAGAATTGCCAAATAAAACAGTAGGCCCCCCCAAAATTAATACTGACCTTATGGGGTCTCTCTACAGTTATAATGAAGAGCAGAAAGTAGACTTATACTTAGTTTCACTCAACTATCGAGTTGTCTTTTGCAAACAGACCAATAACTCAAGGATTAATCCCGGCTGAACACAGAGGAGGGATTAATTGCTAAAGCAAATCTCAGAAACTATCTTCAGGTACTAGTAATGCTAATATAAAAGACTCTTCCTCCCAGTTCTCTGGGACAAATGAGGAGGACTCATCAGTCATCAGGTGATTTGCACTATTAAAAGAGGACAATTGGTATGTATAAAATCTTTTTGGGGCTGATTGTAATAAAATTCTCACCATCCTGATAGAAATTTGCGAAACCTTGGCGCGGGCGGAGGGATCTGGTAAAAGAGTTTGTGGGGCCTGAAAATAACACCAATATCCCTCCCATACACATTTTGCCTAATATACATTACACATTTTTGCAAAGCAATTTATCCAAATATTGTGCTTTTTAATTTTCACTAATATACACATTTTTAAAAATGCACACTTTCCCCTCATATACACATTTTTATATGTATTCCTTGGCTGCAGAAACACAATGCAAATTTGGAGAAGTGCAAATTTTGATGGACGGCTGTGGTAGGTACTCATTTAAATGCAAACTGAATTGGGTTTCTCTCCATCCCTAAACCTCCATGGTAGCAATAGGCAACTAGAGACTGGGGGGGGGGGGTTTACTCTGCCTAACAGGGAAATTCCTCCTGTCCCTCTGAACTGCCTGATCCCAAAGAAATCCTCCCTCCCTTGCTATTATCCCGTTAGACCTTGCTCAGCAGACATAATAATAATAATTTTATTATTTCTACCACACCCATCTGGCTGGGTTGCCCTTCCTGAACCACTGACTACTAACTGAGCATCTGTAGACATCTGCCAAGAGACCTCTATGCCACTACACTGAAGTGCCTACGGAAAGAGAGAAGATTTACCTGGCAGGAGTCTTTGCCGCCCTCCAGAAATCCCACACACATCATGTTTTGCGTGATTTGCCCCGGATAAGCTTTCATGCACTGGCTAGAAGAAAGCACGGGAGCATTCAGGCACTGCAGGAGGTCAGGGTAGCTGGCTGCAGGAAGCATAGGAGAAAAGAAAATAGGAATGTTGCATTCATTATTATGATAGAGGGACGCGGGTGGCGCTGTGGGTTAAACCACAGAGCCTAGGGCTTGCTGATCAGAAGGTTGACGGTTTGAATCCCTGCGACGGGGTGAGCTCCCATTGCTCAGTCCCTGCTTCTGCCAACCAGCAGTTCGAAAGCACGTCAAAGTGCAAGTAGATAAATAGGTACCGCTCTGGTGGGAAGGTAAACAGCGTTTCCGTGCGCTGCTCTGGTTCGCCAGAAGCAGCTTAGTCATGCTGGCCACATTGACCTGGAAGCTGTACGCCGGCTCCCTCGGCCAATAAAGCGAGATGAGCGCCACAACCCCAGAGTCGGTCACGACTGGACCTAATGGTCAGGGGTCCCTTTGCCTTTATTCATTATTATGATTTACGTGGAAAGTATTGCATTGGAAGAAGCAAAGATCACCAGTGTTGAAGTAATGATTCTTCAACATCAACTTTGTTGGCCTGGTCATGTTGTGCGGATGCCTGATTGTCGTCTTCCAAAGCAACTACTCTATTCTGAACTTTAAAATGGTAAGCGTAATGCTGGTGGTCAACAAAGAGGTTTAAAGACTGTCTCAAGGCAAATCTAAAAAAAATAGTATAAACACTGACAACTGGTAAACACTGGCCTGGGAGCACTCCAATTGGAGAACAGCCTTTACCAAAGTGTCATGGGCTTTGAAGATGCTCAAACTCAGGACGAAAGGGAGAAAATGTGCTAAGAGGAAGGCATGTTTGGCAAACCCTCACTGTGACCAACTCCCTCCCGGAAACCAATGTCCCCACTGTGGAAGGACATGTGGATCCACAATTGCCCTCCACAGTCAC